GGCCGCGTGCTCCGAGCTGCGCACCGTGTACCACGAGTGCTTCAACCGGTGGTACGCGGAGAAGTTCGCCAAGGGCCAGTGGCAGAGGGACGACTGCGCCGACCACTGGCACAAGGCCGGAATTCTTCAATGGAGTTGGCGGCAAGATCTAGAGCAGGATGGTTGCGTGTAGTGTAGATAGATCTCGTTGGTCACGTAGTTACTGCAATTTGGGAGTACCATTATCACGATTTCCAAGCAACCTTTTCGTGAATCAACAAAAACCCTTTTGTACCAAATTGAGAAACTTGAATTTATTTGAATGATTCATTAGTGATGAGCAAGGAAAAATCTCAACATAACCAACTAGATTAACTTTCAAGCGACAACTCAATTTTCTTCAAAAAACTCTATTCAGTAGTCTGCGCACTATGTATATTGAAAAGGTAATAGAGCCAACAATGCTCATCGCCTGATAACACTACTATAAACTACATGGTTATATCACAGTAAGCCACATTACCAGTTTATATTTACAATTGGACATAGAAATAACCACCAACCAGTTGTTAGAGTTGAATGTTCTTGGCAGTGAAATTGATGGGCTGATTAAATCTTTCAAAGAAAATGGACCGATTACTTTAAGTGTTGAAAATCGATCTATATTTGTGATATTTGTCTATTTGCACTGAACTTTGTTTTTCTTTTATCATCTATTAGTCAACAATGTTTTGTGATACAAAAGTAGTACTGTTATATTCATGTTAGAAAGGACTTTCCTGTGAGAATGCTTTTGTTTCTATAAATAATTTAGTTTAATTGTATCAAAGAGAATTCCAAATGTAATTTTGAAGATCATGCCAACTACAACCACTCCGTATGCTTTGAATGGATGGAGTATTTGACTGCCATACTGAATTACTGCTGTCCTGCATCTTTTGGGATTGTTATTACTGGGATAGGTATGTTCAGGGATTGGGTTTCAACTTTCAAATCTCTTTTCCCTCTGACAGAAGTAATTATTATTGGTGGATGTTTGTATGAGTCGTGTTAAACATGAGCCAAGCTTTCCTCTGATTTTACATGGACACTACCTCTCATGACATTAACCTCTGAGTCTATGTTCTATTCCTTTATTCTCCCTCCCTCCCTCCCTCCCTCTTGTTTGTTATAATCAGCACACCAGCTCCATTGTTGCCATTTCTCTAATACAATTATACAAATAGCTTGGAGATTGTCAGTTGTCACAACCTCAGCTTTTGCAATGCTTGTATGAAATCGTATCATTCTTGCTCTTATATTGGATAGATTTACTATTGATCCAGTGAGTACATATCTCCTTCTCATAATGGCTGACTGTCGACATTTTCATTGTTTCCAGGAACATCTAGAAGACAAGCATCTAAGGCAAATCCTACTGGACGCAGAAACTTCCGCATTTTATGCCAGGCCTGAGGCTGACCCCCCCCCTCAGGACAAGGAACTACAAAATAACAGTCTCTTGTTTACCACATGCCATGTCTACTTTATATAGGGAACCTTTTGTAGACTAAACTCCTTTGATCTTGACACTTGTGAGGCCCCTGATCATGTAACACTTAAATTGAGCTGGCATTTGCGAGCAAAATTTGCTGAGTGTCAGAATGGTGTACCCTGCTATCTGAAAGCATTGGAAGAATTGAGAATAGAATCAGCTGTAGAGCTGTACATTTTGAAGAACGTTGTTTCATCGATGGCTTTGCTTTTAGCAGAGTTTGTTGAGTAATAAGGTTTCGGACATGGTATTGTTTTCAAGACGTTAGTTTCTGATGGTGTTGTTAGGGTTTCGTGAATCATGACAGTGACATGGTCACTTGCCTTACGGCGAGTGCTCTGCGCTTGGAGCAGCAGCTACAGGTAAAGCAATAACAGGGAAACCAATAAATTGATGGACTTCTTTTCCACCCTTCTAAGTGTTCAAAGCCTTCTATTTTCTTTTCTGGGTCTTGTATGTTCTACTTAATAAAGGTATACTGTTATTTACTTTGCATATTTTAAGGGTAAAAAAACATTGCGCTGGGTAATCCAACTTCCTGAGTGACTAGCAAACTTATCTTGAACATGTGCACTTGTGCATGTCCAGGTAGGCAGGTACTATGATAACTGTTTTTGCTGGTTCCAACTTCATGCCTAACTTTGTGTTGTTTTGGAGCTTGTGTACAGATTTGTGTATGTTAATGAATATGATTGTAGCTATGTATGTTTACATGCCCAAGATACATACAGCTAGAGCTTGTCAAGGTACTAGGATAGCTGTTTTTGCTGGATTTCATGCCTAGGTTTATCTTGATATCGGAGGTTGTGTTTGTGTACAAAGTTGTGCATGTTGATGAATATGGTTGCAGTTTTATATGTTTGTACATGCTCTAGTATACAGCTGTATAAGTGAACCCAACGCCCAGTCCAGCAGGAGGATTCAGAAATCAGGATAAAACGGGACACAATTATACACTTGCACAAGCTCGGTTGAACAACTCACGGCTATTGTACACACCAATTTGAAGTACTTTCTTTCAAACGTTTTGTTTTGTTGCCAAACTTTGGTCTCACTCCTTGGATCTGTAGTTTGATGGCTGCATCTTCAGGAGGCATGCAATTGTCAGAAATAGTACGTAGGTTACTGAAGAAGCAATTGAACAAACAATTCTTTCAAGTCGACAGAAGAAAACACACTTCATCACGCAATTTTCACGATTTCTTTTAGCACCGTTTGAATCCTTAGAATTGAATTCATTTTATTAATTATAATTTAGACGCAGATTAATTAAACTAATATGGTTGTATATAGAATATATTTGTAAATTATTGTTAGCCATATAATGGAGATACTTATATGTTGTATTTCTACTATAGGGAGATGAGTTGAAGAGCATGCTATAAGTTCAAGAGTAGAAACATAGCATCGTGATCTATAGAATCAATTTTCATCTCCCACGCTATGAATTTGAGATATGCTTATATGTGAACTTGGTAAAGTTGTGGCATGTCAAATTCCAAGCGAAATAGCCTAATCCATTATGGAATTGATAGGATTAGGCCGTCCGGATGGTTTCAATCTCTGGACGCAACGTGGCTGGCCCTAAGCGGCCTAACAACCTCACATCTCTACCCACAGGACGTATTTTTATCATCAGTACCAACTCCTCTCCCAAATCTCTGTATTAGTCATCCGCTTTCCTCTCTCATGGTTCACCCGGCATCGCTCGCTCTGAGTTCCTGTTCGTTGTCCGCCCTACGTTGGCCACCCTCTCCACCGCGCCCTACCGCAAGTGCCAACCTTCCTCCCTTTCCTTGTCTCTCGCCCGCTTTGCTCCTTCTCCACACTCCAACGACAACTCCCATCTGGAACGACGAGCAAGCAACATCATCTCTCTCTCTCTCTCTCTCTCTCTCTCTCTCTCTCTCTCTCTCTCTGCCCTGTCCGTCTGCCTTCTTCCATCTTGGTAAGCCGGCATATTACGAGCTTGTTCATTGCTACTATCCTCATGCTCTAAGCTGGAGACTTTGTGCTGCTCAGGGAGGCCCAGATCCACACCCTCCTTCTCGGATCTAGGGCCGTTGTTGCTCAGCATATGGTTTTGGGATGTTGCATTGGTTCTTTTTTTATGTTGCATCAGGAGATTTCTTGTGTTTTGATAACAAATTCAGATGTTTTAGTAGATGGTCTCTCATGTTGCTGCAACAAAACTAGCATGTTGCGTCACATGATTGTTTGGTGTTCTCATGTTGCTGCAACAAACTAGCATGTTTGGTGTTGCAGTAAGTGATGACTTATTGGTGTTGCAGTAAGCAATCATTTTCTTATGTTGATTAGTGATGTTGCGTCTCCTTTATTTTGATGTTGCAGTAGTTGTCTGTTTGATGTTGCATTCTGCTGATTTACCATGTTGCAGCAAACAGACTGAGATATTACCATGATCGAGCAATAAAACTATGATGCAGTAACCGATGATTTTGCCTGTCGATTAAGGATATATCATCTCCTTTGTAATTGAATGTTGTATGTTGCACTTTGTTGATTCCCCATGTTGTAGCAACAGACAAAGACCGGGGCGTGGCGCGACGAATGCAGTGTGGTTGGGACAGGGCACAGCGTCGCACCATGCGCTCTTGTGTCGAGGGAGGAATCATGTGGACAAACGAGACGTTCTGGAGGAAGACGCGGGATTTGACGGTTCCGCTCGCTTGTATGGGACAGCTAGGAGCAGTGTTCGGACGTAGCCAAGAGCCTCATGTCCCGGCACTAGCAGCCTCGAATTCATTAAGTATAATCCAATTCCTCCAAAATGAAATGATCCAAGCGGCCTCTTACTGTAAAGCTAGCATGAGACATGATATATTTGTATTTAATATAGAAGGAGAGTTAAAGGTTTGAGAATTATACATCATCATTGAAGCTGAGAAGGGGCTAGCTAAACTAAAGAAATTAGCTGTGAGATTGTCCCCAAATCAGCTGAGTTTGCGAGAAGATATGTAATAAGCGTATGGAGAAACTATTAATGCCCAGACACCACACCACCAAAGACTACTTGGTGATAGTGTTTCACCGGGTCGTGAGTCGTGACATTGACTCGTATGGTTTCTCATCTCTGGTACTCTAATGCAATTCTCGTTTTTCGAAAAGTTAAGCAAAATTAGTATCATTAGATTAGTCATAAAATATACTTTCATAATAAATTTATTTAGAGACATATAAATATTAATGTTGTTGGCTATAAATTTAATCAAATTTGAGCTAATTTGACCGGCACGAAATCTATAATTCCATATTCTTTTGTAGATGCCGGATCCCTACACTTTTTGTGCGTCCGTAAAGTCAAAAGGATGTCGTCACGGCGCAGAGCAAAAACTTTGTCAGTGGCCACGTAGGCCTGATCCTTCGATGTGGGGACAAGCAAGGCTGAAAGCTACTCGTCCGTCGTCCCGGGGAAATTGAGCTCCCCTTTCCCCTCCACTCTCCAGAGCGGAGCAGCGCTCTCCTCTCACCATCCATGGCCAAGAAATCCAAGAACACCAGGAGAGCTGGCGGTGCTTCTTCCTCCTCCTCCCTTGCAGCTCATGGCGATCGCGCCGCGCCATGGCTCCGGCTGACGGCTCTCGCTGTGCTCACCGTCCACTCGGCCTTCTCCGCGTACCTGGCCAGGGACGACGCCAGGTTGGTCGCGCTTGTCGCCGTCGGATACCTCCTCATGCTGCTGCTGCTGCTGCTCTATCACTATGGTGGCCTGCCCCTGCCTGGGGTCAAGAAGACAGACTAGCCCACAGCATGAAGAGAATAGATGTCAAGGTACTACGTGACCTGTTTTTGCTTCTTTTCAGTTACCTGCCCGCCTAGTTTTTTTCCTTCTTGATTTTGCAGGTTGTGTTTGTGTACAAAGCTCTGTATGTTCATGAATATGGTTGCATATATGTTCATATACAAGTATACAGCTGTATAAACAACTTCAACACCCAGTAGAAGTAGGCTGGAGGGTTCGACTGTTCGAGTATACAATTGTATACCTGTACACTCCTGTTCGCTTGCCATGTACAATGTTTTTCTCTCACGGTGCATCAGCGAACAGTACTTTTTTTTCTCTCACAACGACTCACAACTGTTGTACATATACTGATGTCAAGTACTTTCTATGGATCTCTTTACGTTTTGCAACTTCCGTATCACCACACTCAGCCTGAGTCGTTGATAGTTTCTACGAGGACAAGTCTTTCATCTTGGAATTGTCATAATCCAATCAATATATTCCTGTAGGAATGTAAGACCTTGAGAGGCATGGACTTGTTTGTTATAATCAGCACACCAGCACCATTGTTGCCATTTCTCTCTAATACAAATAGCTTGGAGATTGTTACAACCTCAGCTTTCACAATGCTTGTATGAAACCGTATCATTCTTGCTCTTATATTGGATAGAAGATTTACTATTGATCCAGTGAGTACAAATTTCACATAATTTCATCAGATATTTAGTCAAATAGTATGCCGCCTATATACAAGGACCGAGCAAAGCTGCAAAATGGAATGTTTCAAACTTTCAATTGCCATGAGTTTCTGTTGTAAATATAGTCTATTATTACATTCACGTGCTGATTCAATCAAATAGTTTATGCTGTAAATATATTCTGTTACATTCACGTGCTGATTCAATCAATGTATTTTTCAGCACTCCCATTCTGAATCCCATAGTTACACAATTTCAACTGAAACCCTTCTAGTTTACTATCAAACAAATAAGTGTACGATAACTAGTTAAATGAATGCTGAACTTTGTGATGACTTACTAGTTACTACTGTACTTATCTATTCAGATTACTGTTCCCAAATTTTCAGCCTCTTGGTAGCGAATATGTTGTTCTTGGTACCGCAGCAGCTTTGCAAACTGAAAATAACCCAAAAATTGAATGCATTAGCCTTACTCTTTAATTAAAACTCAGCACACTGTTTGTCATGAGTTCGACAAAATGGTACCTGAGATGCTTTGAGATCAAGTTCATCCCATTCAAAAGATGGATTTGTACCTTCAACAATCCCCGCACCGGCGTACACTAAAGTGCTGTGACCCTGGAATCATTGGAGATTTGTAACTGTAAAATACGACGACTAATCAACTATATATGCAAGTTTGGTAAAAACAAGTTAGAATACAAGATGGGAACTGCATAGTAGGTAAACTTTTAACAGATTCGTAGTTTTGCTTACTTTTCCAAGTAACGCTGATCTAATCCCAACAGCAAACTCGCTTTCAGCTCCTCCAAACCAACCAACAGGACCGGCATACATTCCACGGTCAAAAATTTCTGTGAGAATATTCAAAACTTAGTATTTGTAAATCACTGAATTTAATTCTTGCGCTGTTCTTATTTTAGAAAGACTGGTAAATACACATTCTACAAATTATCCAAAAAAAATATTTAGACATACCATGATCTCGTATGAATCGGCGCGCCTCTTCAGTTGGCAAGCCACAAACAGCTGGACTCGGATGAAGAGTATTTAGAATCTCAAACTGCATTGCCAGGACAACTTGTTATCATTATTTTAGTGTACTCTGACTGAGTGGTTCATGTTCTTGACGATTACATACAAACATTTTTTTAGATAACGTAACAAAGGTCCCAGCCTCTAAGTGCTTTCATTTCATAGGTTACCTCATCATCTTCGTTCCTTATTCTCGCAGCTAACCGCGCTGACAAATGCTGTACTCTTGGAAGTTTCCGCAGAGCCTTGCTGGGATGGACAACCACCTCATCACAGATCATCTGCAGATCAGATTACAGAGGGTAGTTTATTAAATTGCAGGGACCATCCCCCTCACAGAAAAGCATTATGTCCATGTCGAGCGCCAGTATTTCTAGAACTAAACTTGCCTCCAACTTGTTCTTTATGCTGTCCCGTACTATAGTAAATTCGATATCCTCTTTGGTACTGCAAGAAACTTTTGCATCAGTACTTGCTCAATTTTAGTACAAGGTGTTGATTTCACACTGACTCCCTCGATCATAGTAAGTTATGAATTCTAAGGAGGGAAAAGAACCTTAGAAGCAAATCCTGACCGATTTGAAAGTCATCTGCCCTTGTTTTTCCTCTTGCTCGAGTACCAGCTAGAGCCTCACTGGAAATATTCAAGTGTTTCCGGTGAAATAGTTGCTCTGGCTATTCAGAATGTTTGCATAAAATTAACATTAGTTAGAAAATGATGATTTACCATTTCTGCAACATAACTAGGAAATGCATCTGACAGTTTTTCTAACTAAATAGAAGAAGAAAAAACTCAAGTATGCAGCGTGTTAGAGTTGTGATCCAAATTCAGTTATGTACAAGATAAAGGCTAATTTCTGCCGGAGCGAAGCGAGGCCCATTAGCCCATCATGTTTCCCTACCGCGCCTCGGGGGGTTGCGGCGGGGCGGAGCCCCCCCGCGGTATGGATCGTCGCCTATTAGGGTTTTTCATCTATATATACTTCCTGTAAACCATCGTCTTGAGATAAGAAAAGTTGTAAATCCCCGACGTTTGTAACCTCATCCGATATAGTGAAGATTTGCTGACTGGTGCCCGTGGTTTTTTCCCTTCTTCCTTGGAAGGGTTTTCCATGTTAAAATCTCGTGTCCCCTGTGTTTGATCTACTATTCTTCGTCGTTTATTGCCTATCGTTTCTAACACGGCGATGATTATTTTTTTAAAAAAAAAAGAACAGAGTAAACATACGCTATTTCCAACAAACGCAGGAGCATCTGGTGGTTGTATGCAGAATTGATAAGCATTTTGGCCCTCAACCTGTATCGTTAAATTACAGTGTGATTTTCTGATAGAATAAAATCGATTTGGAAAGTGCAAGGTAGGGGAAAAAGCATACAGACCTTCAAGCAAGCTAGCAGTTCCACAGGGTCAATGCAAGTATCAGTAATGTATCTGCTACACCTTGCCAGTACAACCTGTGAAAAAGATTGGTAACTCCATTCATAGTTTCAGACACGCTCTAAACAAATAATAGAAGAAAAGTAGAATAATAAATCATAAATTAAGTCAATAATAGCTTCAACATGGATTTACATCAATCATACATTAACTTTTCTAAAAGAATTAAGTCCATTTTTGTCCCTCAACTATAGGGTTCGTCTAATTTTAACCCTCAACTACGAAACCGTCTAGTTGTGATACCCTAACTGTCAAAACCGTTCACTTTTAGCACCTAGGCACGGGCAAGACTGTTTTGTCCTACATGGAGCGGTTTTGACCACGCCACGTTGGCATTGACCGCCACGTAGGATGTCAACCTCCATCTCAGTGACATATGGGGCCCACTCATCACCTCCCTCTCCTTCCTCTCGCGCTGCCGCCGCGGACGCTTGCGTCGCGGGTGGGGCAGCTTCGACCACGGAGCTCCTAGTGCGACCACCATCCATGGATGACGACGAGGAAGAGGAAGATGATGTCTTTGCCGCTTGATCCGCATCCGCTTGGGCTCCCGTGTCGAGTCCGTGGACAACGGGTCGGCCGACGCCACCAATGGCGAGGGATCGGCTTGGCGTAGGTGTCTTTGGGACGAGTCAGTCAGCGGGTAGGAGATCAAAGTAGCTAACACGGCGGTGGCGCCACGCAGGGACGGTGGACGAGGTGGGACGCGAGCCTCGGGGGGCGGCGTCGCGGCGGCGGGAGCGGCGGCGGGGGCACGTTGAGCTCGGACAGCATCCTCACGGCAGCGCCCCGCCGCCGCTCTCGCCCGCAGCGACGCCGACGCAAGCGTCCCCCCAGCGAGCATCCGGCATGAAGCCGCGAGGGGCGCAGCCTTGGCTTTCCCAATGGCAAGGCGGACCGCGGCATCATGTCTTTGGTGGCAGGCGATGAGCACCCACCGTGGACGCGCGCGAGGATCGGGAGAGGCGAGAGACGCCGCCGCAATGCGGGCTTGAAGAGGACGCACGGCACGGCGACGGCGGAGGCGGCTATGATGGCGCTTGGCGGCGGCGATGGCGTGGAAGTCTTCGCAGGCGAGTGCGATGAGGTCGTGGCGCGAGGTGGGGGGGAGGTCGGGCGTGGCGGCCGCGGCGAAGCAGGCGGAGCTGGAGCACGAAAGCGCGAGACGCGTCTTCTTTGGTGGGGGCGCGGCGAGTGGTGGCTGAAGAGGAAAAGGAGAGAGAGAGGATGAGTGATTGACACGTGGGCCCCACATGTCACTAAGATGAAGGCCGATGTCCTACGTGGCGGTCAATGCCAGCATGGTGTGGTCAAACCCGCTCCACGTCGGTCAAAACAGTCCCGCCCGCGCCCAGGTGCTAAAAATAAATGGTTTTGACAGTTTGGGTACCAGCATTAGACGGTTTTATAGTTGAGGGTCAAAATTAGACGAACCCAATAGTTGATGGGCCAAAAGTGGGCTTAATCATTTCTAAAATTGATAAGGTTGTCCGAGCTGAAACCTATTGGCTAGAAGCAAGCAATGAACCTGTGCACTCTGTCAAAGTGTCAACTGTACTTGTCTGTTTTCTCTGTCACGGGCCCACAGTTAACAAGCAACAATCAATAATGTTGATCATTATGCTTCTCTATTTTCTCTATGCATTTTTTGTTAGATGGAATGACAACCTCTAAATCCAGAGATGCTTTTGGCTGTTAATGTAATAGGATCAAAGTTAACAGAACGGCTTACCTTTACCAGTTCTCTTTGCCTCCCTTTGATCATCTGAAGAGCTTTAGTAACTGCAAGATCCCAAGATGCCTTGGTTGGGACATGATTGAGACTTACTATGGCTGTTTGTAGGCTGGTCTTGTTCCCTTGAACAGAACAAGTCGATATCTGAGAAACGTACAGACTGTTACTATCTTCTAGGTGGTAAAAAAACTGGACGAAGAGAAATGTGCACCTTTCGCAGAGTTGATTGGAGCTCCTCCACGGCGTTCTGCCATGTCCATGAAAGCGAGTCATCCCAAGCGATTGTCGTCGCAAGGACGGAGCTTTCCTCGAGCTCATTGAACTCAACCTACACCATAGTTCAGACTTCAGACAGTTTCACAAAATTCAGAGTAAGATCACAGCATCCCGTTCCATCTCCTAGTTTAGCAGTTGCAGAGCCACTTACTTGAGGAACAATGAAGTAGAATGAGCCATAGTCCTCCCACTCCACTGAAGCATCACTCATGGCATCGAAACGGATGGCGCCATATGCACGGATGAGTGGACAGTCCCTTGGAAGAAATCTTCATAGACACAAATTTGCAAACACAACAAGCAGCCAGGTTCAGTGTCGACCATACCAAACATGGAAAATTCAGAAAATATGATGATGCCCATTTTGTTGTGGTTTAAAAAAGCCAGACAAGAAGTAACATCATCTGGAAACGGAAACGTACGTCAATGCCACAGTACAAAAGGAGCCGATTTACCTCTTGATTGCGCGCCAATCAGCGAGAGAAAAGGGTTCCGTCCCTCGGAAGAAGACCGCCGAGCCCACGCCGGCGACGCTCACCAGCTGCTGCCGATGGCCATTGCCGTTGCCGTTGCCGTTGCCGCAGCTGCTGGTGCCGGCGAGCGCAGGCGCGTCGGGCAACGGCGCCCGGGCCGAGAAGAAGCAGCGGGGCAGCGCGGTCTGCGCGTGCAGCCACTCGATGGCGTCCACCCGCTGCCTGATGGGCACCTCGATGCGGATGATGCCGGAGGGCGCGGCCGGCGGCGGCGCCTCGGACCCGATGAGCGCGTCCACGGCGGCCCTGAGCTGGCCCACGGCGTCGTGCGGCGCCGGCGCCGCCGGCAGCTCCCGCGCCTCGCGCACACACACCGCGCCGCGGTCCCCGGCGCCCGGCGCGCACCCGTTCATGGACAGCGAGCACGACAGGCGCGCCCATCTCCCCACCTGTGATGTGTGCACGTGCAAAACATATGAGCACACGGTCCGCCTGCATAGATGACCAAGGCAAGAAGAGGCCAAAAGGAAGTAACGGAAACGAGGAGCATGCCGTGGTCGCGGACGCCGGGCGCGCGGCGAGTAGCCGGCCCGGGGAGTAGCACGAGGAAGACGGTGGCGGCATGGTGCGCTGCGCGAGCGCGCGTCAAGCGTGAGGTGACGGAGGCCGGACAGCAGCAGCACTGTGAGTGAGAGAGCTGTGGGATGAGGACGGGGGCTGGACAGCACGGCACATTGGGTCACTGGCGGTGCAGCACAGCGGCACGCGCGCGCGTCTTGCCCTTCGTGAGTCGCGAGAGGAGATAAGAGAAGATTCGCATGGGGATAAGTGGCACAACCGTTATTCGGCGCTCATCGCGTGGGCACACATGCGACATGTCACCAAGGGCAGCGAATTTTTTATTTTTTAACCCTTTTTTTGAATTTTTTTCACAAATATGTCACTGGAGGTAAGATTTCAAAATCTGGACCCTTAGCTCGGCGCCATCGTTGCTGACGCCGAGCTCTTGGGTTCGAAGCAGACGTGACGGTGACATAGCATGCAGCTCGGCGCCGTAGATTTTGGCACCGAGCTCAGCGTCAGGATTACTGGCACCAAGCCTGTTTTACGCGGGCCCCAATCCTTTCTCTCTTACTCTCCCTCTCTCTCGCAACTCCCTCTCCTTGCCCAAGCAGCGCACCGCCGCCGTCGCCCGCGCCCTCTCCCGCCCCCGGCCGCCCTCGTCGCGCCGCCACCGCGCCCGCTCCGGACCCCTCGCCGGTCCCAGCGCCCGCGCCGCGCCCGCACCCACGCCTCGCCCGACGTGCCGCCCGCGGCCACCTTGGCCGCGCCGTGGCCGCACCGCGCCCGCCGTGCCACCCGCACCCACGAAAAAAAATCTTTCAAGCACTCACTGGCACATAATGCAACAACATGCTCGTTCAAAACCTGCATCTGTACTCTTGTCTCCTCCCTTTCCTCCTTCCTTACCCTCTCCTCCTCTAACGTCATCCGTCTCTCCAATCCCCATTTGTCAAGCCCAACATCGATCGGATTACAAATACCGCGCTGTCTAGCAAACTCACGCATCTTGTTTTTATGATGTTTAACGAATAGGTTGACATAGTCATGTCTATATCCCCTCTTCTGTGCAATTACTTGCCTTAGAACTTAGCTTGACCATCATAACATTCCCACCTGCATTTTCTAGTACTCTATTCAAACAAAAAATTATATCATATATGTCTTAGCAACTGATCGGACTATATGACATGAATTAAGTATAGCACCAACAAAAAACACATCAATCGATTGGGTAAAGTCCCCGACACAAGACAGAAAAACGGTTGCAGAAAACAGAACCACCCCTACCTCAATTAACACAAGTCACCATCAACCATTGTAAACAAGTTCAGAATTCTACCGAGCTTGAATTATTGTGAAGGTTGCTTATTTAACAGAGCGCTACACAGACAACCAAAAAATTTCCTCAATGAAACATTTCACAGTTCATGAAATCTGACAGACTGCAACGACCAAAAGACGCCGGGAACCCCAACAGTTTTGTTTTCCCCAGCTGACCTGATCTGATCCAAACAGTCATGCTAGGAGCTTAGAAGGGAAAAAAATGGTCTCGATAACCAATCAGGGCTTGAGGGCCACGGCAATCCCGACCTTCGAGCTCTTCTCGATGGTTTTTGTGTCGACCTCGGCCGAGATGGTGACCAGTGACTTTGGGCTCCACTCATGCCGGATGAGGGCACTGGCCTTACCAGAGTTGTTGATGCGGGCCTTCAAGACGGTTAGTGGGTCCAGAGCGTGCTGCCCGCCAAAGGTGAGGGTGTTTTCATTGGTCGAGAAGCTGTGGGTAAGCTCTGCCCCAACAGCTGTGTTGCTCAATTCGCTCACCTTGTGGTAGTAAGCTCCAGTAAGGCTGTCTCCCCTGTTGTTCCTGCAAGAGAAGGTTGGATCAGTAACATGAAATTTGGAAAGGCACTGCAATAATAAGACAGTAAACATCCTAAAAGAAATGGGATTATATCTGTTGAGGAGCTATGACATCAGTTTCATTTAATATAAGAAAATTATACATAGGACTTTTCACTCATTTAGAAAACCAAAATACTGAGCATCAAACCCAAAATTATACATGGGACTTTTCACTCAATTAGAAAACCAAAATACTGAGCATCAAACCCTTCCTGGAGGCACAGCTCAATATTAGCCATATTGCCACCAGCTTACTGCAAAAGATCCCTTTTTTTCAATGAAACAAAAAAAAACACTTAGCAAAGTCAGTAACTTTCACCAATTTTACATGCAATAATCTGAGTGAGTTAGAAACTCGTGTTTGTTGCAAACAAATATAAGTGAAGCAAAATTATAAAGTTGCTTCTTTCAAAAACTCCATTTGAGAAATGTCTCAAAAGGTGAAATCATGGTGACAATATATTAATATTTTGACTATTTTTTATGCACTAAACCAGCTACACAACGGCTTGAAGTTGAGACGCATTAAGCAGGGATTTGCACTTAACCATAAAAAAAGAAATTACAAGTATCAAATAAGCTTAAGTGTTGCCAAATAACAGTCGCATACAGTGCCTAAATATATAAGATTACTACACTTTGAAAACTCACAGGGTCAGGGATGCGATGAGGTCTTCATGAGTGAACCTCAGTCCAGCATTGTATTTGGTTAAGTTCCCAGTGGCAGTATCAAGTGAGACATCTGCACCAACTGCAAGAGCCTTAGTGCCAAAGGCAGCAGAGAGGTTGACTACAGGATTGGCTGTCAGACCAATGCTTGCATTAACTCCAGCATAATCATGCAAATACTGAAGCTCAACCTGCAACCAGAAATAAATACATGAATACATTGAAGAATAACCTTCCACTTAAGAAATAATAAACTGAATTAGATTATTACCTTTCCAGACCTCTGATCAGGAACAGCAAAGCTAAGGATGGTTTTCAGTCCTGGCGTTGCAATCTCATCAACAGTAACTGTAGTAATGATCTGAACAGCAAGTCAAAGCAAGCAGTCAACAGAACTCGAACAGTGAGAAATATGACAGATCAACTAATTAGTCAAAGAGCAAATTGTTGACCAACACAAATAGCACGCTTGATAATAGTTTGTCAAACTACTACTATTAGTCTAGGTGATATCACAAGAAATGAACATGTTGCAGGTCCATTTTGAGCAAAGCATGCAATTTCCAGGGGTTAAGTATATACATATACAGAGAGAAAGATTTACATTTGACTCCGAGTTTGCTTTCACATCTACCGTAATGTTCTTGTTCTTTATCTGTGATTGGATCTCACCAAAGATCAGGTCAGCTTTCTTTGTGCTAGAAGCAGTGACAGCCTGCATGAAAAAAGCAACAGAGGATATTAAAATTATAAGAATATGATAGCCATGCATGGAAATAATTCTAACATAGTCACGATTTTCAGTACAAGCATGTAGGCAGCATTAAGAGAACAATCAAATATATACACGCAAACCAAACAATTAGTTGTTAAATCACCCACAACATATGTAATTCCAGACTCCAATACATCAACAGAAAATACAAGTTGCAAAAGTCATCATGAGTTGAGAAACATAATTATGGTAACAGCATACCTGGGGTTCAATACAATTGTTTTTTCAGGTGTTTGATACTTCAATTATAGTTTTATTATCCTCAATTGTTTAAGTTCAGTACAGATACATTTTTCCTAAAAGTCTAAAACCCATCAAAACCTATAATTTACTCACATCCCAACCATGGAAGGAAATCCACCGAGCCATGTTGACATCGCTCAGCTACTTACAATTATTCTACTCAATAATTGGCTACCCACTGTCCTCCCACTATCCAGATAGTGCCAACATGTGTTACATCCCCTGAAAATTGAGCCCGACACCAGTTATTACATAACTAAAGCTGGCTACTATTTCACATCACCTCCCGGTTTTTATTAGAACCACAACAGCGTGGGGTTCCACCGTCCTTTTTTATTCGAACCCTTTTCTCCCCCGGCTAAGGGGGTTTCTCTAGCGACCCACTTATTCAAAACAAGCATTAAAAAGAGCATCACATGTAAATCACACATTGCCAAATCCTATACCCTACAGCAAAAAACGAACAAGCAGATAGGAATAGAGCACAACTCAAGGCTATGCAGGAACCCAATCTAATCAATAATCTCTTGTGCTGGCTTTCGCTACCAAACAGCCACTCACTCGCTAAGATCGAGCAACAGGATCCGAACCCCACAGACGAATCCAATAGAAGATCATGATCCCATCCCACGGCTATATCAACCAGATTCGTTCCAGTCCGACGAAAGCACTGCAAAGCAACGCCCTAGCGCAAAGGACCGAAGCTGAAGAAGAGAGGGGGTGTTTTGAACGGAGCGGAGCACTTACGACGCCATTGGAGGTGTAGGTAGTGAGGGTGAACTTGTGGTCAGTCTGGTAGTCCTTGTAGAGCAGATCTGCGGAAAAAGCGATCCGAAAACAATAAGCAAACCAACAGAAGAGAATAAACCAGCGAACTCCACCCCCGACCCCAAGAGCTTGAAAGGAATCCGTGGGGAAGGAGGGGCGAGATGGACGGACGGGCACCCACCCTTGGTCTTCTTGCCGATCTCGGTGTAGAGGCCCGGCCCGACCATCTTCTCGCCGGTGACAACGGGACGCGACGAGGTGTGGCGGCGTGGAGATGCTGCGGGGTGGGAGGGAGGTTGGGGAAGGATGATTGGGAGGCGGCGGATGGGTGGAGAGGTGGAGGTGGGGGGAGAATAATGGCGGAGAAGACCCCACGGCGTGGAGGCTGATGTGTGGCCCCGATTAAACCCTAGTTTATTTGGCTTCGTTCATCTCTGGGTTCCACGCCCAGGGACCAGGGTAATGACACGCTCAACAAAAGTTGGGAGCGCGATTAGCATCCGATCTAAATCCGAATCTTATAACGGTGGATATAAAAAAGAGATTTAAATATTTATGTGAATAGATAATCTAAATTTGATCGTATGCGAATGCAAGGTAGAATATAAAATCGGCAAAGTCCAATGGATATGAATACGGATTATCGAGTGTTTTAAATAGGATAGCGCTAGTTTCACTCCCTAGACTAAAAAACAAAAGAGCTCATGATAAAGAACAGCTTGTTACTTGAGAAATCTTATGTTGCAATGTGGTTGTTTTATGTGCTAAATTTCGAACGGAGAATTTGTTGCTAATAACTTATCATTTGTGAGTGTACCCTAGTAAATGTTAATTGTCGGTGTGATAGCCACAAAATGAATTGTTATGCAAGATTATTTGTGTATTAGTTGCTATTGTCTTTTTACTAAATTATTTCTTGACAAGTATGTAATTTTCTACATATGCACATATATAGTATCTGACAAAAAAAAACGGAGTGACATTATCCACCTCTGATTTGATCCATTTTCATCCCTAACAACTATTTCTTCTGTTCATCAAGTTGACCAAATTGTACCCTATTTTATGCAAGTACGAGGACATGCGTGCGTAAAAAAAATCATGTAAGAGGAGTAACAATTAGATATACCAAGACACAGGCAATACGCATACAAAAAGTCTATATCTATGCCAAACATTAAAAAGCAAAAAAAAATCTACCTTCTCACCTCTGTGAGATTGTGTTGACAGAGATTTTAGACATATCATTAACTTGTTTACTATATAATACAATACAATTGACAGATACTACATATAATTGGTTGTATTTCTCTTTTAAGATTCAATATATAAAATGTCTGCTTGGGTGTCTTATGTGTTGCTTTTGCTGTGTCTTTAGCGTTTTGAAATGTTGACCAGAATCAAAAGAATTTTATTCTTTTTTCCAGTCACGTGCTTCATGGAACTCTCGGAGTGACGTATGATTGGTTTTAATTATATAGCTTATTTTTTGTAGTAGGACATCTCGATTGTGTTTTCTTAATCATTGGATTGTGCTTGTTAAAGAAAAATTATTGGTTTGGCCCTTCTATAGCAAACACCCGCTCTATAATGTTTTGGAGAGCTATCAGTATAGGGCGTGTTCGGCTGGCTTGTTCCGCCACTCACGAAATTACTGTTTACTGCCATAACAGTATTTTTCTCTCACAACAATCAGCCGGAACAGTATTTTTCAGTCCTGCCGAACAGGCTATATATATAGGCCATGTAGAACAAATGTAACAACAGAAAATGTAAAGAAATGTGAGGGGTAAAAGTAAACAACTTTCATGAAGAACTTTAAAACTAGAATTCATGCATGTACTTAGGTGAGATTCTTATGCTTTTCTGCTGCCTACTTTTATCTTAGTTTGTTTTAGAGAGGAATTTTCATCTTAGAAAGGTCAATTTTATCTGAACCATAGCGGGATGATAGTCAACTTTTTATTTCCCCCAACTGTAATACCCGACAGCCAGCACTCACCATAACTTTTGGAAACACGCCAAACGCACAACCTCATCTGTTTTTTTTTCAAGAGTCAACCTTATTTGCTGATTTGATAAAGCTATAAATCACTCGAGTGATTTGGAGCAATCCAACACTTGAATTTTCTCTTCTCCAAATCCAGCCTCTCCTCTGCTTCTTCTCCAAGTCCGGCGGCCTTAGAAGGGGCTCGGGAAAGACAGGCCGCCTAGATGGTAGGGACGGCAGGAGGGCGGTGTTAGGGTTTCGGCGATGTTGGAGGCTGCCGAACCAGGTAGGGACAATAGGAGGGCGGTGTTAGGGTTCCGGCGATGTTGGAGGCCGCCGGACCAGGGCGGGACGAGGGTGCCTATGGCCATGACGGCGACGGAAGGGGGCTAGGGGAAGAAGGAGACCCTACTGCGCCGCGGCGGGCGGCGGCGGCACGTCAAGAGGAGGAAGATGAACAGTGAAGAAAAAAATCGAGTTCATCCCTCTAGTGACAGATAGACAGATCCTTGTTGATTGGTCATGGGCTTGGAGCCCAGCACGATGATGCCTAGGCTCTCCCTGCAAAAGAGACTTTTGTAAAAGTTGAGGGAGGAGAAAATAATTTTTTTCGTGTCTTTTTTTATTCTTTACTGTGGCCCTCAATTTTGGCCCAAGATTAACCAGCAGCCTAATATATTGGACATATGTCATGCAAAAAAAAAACAGGTCTTTCTCCTAAGAAAATTATGTTATCCCTCTTACTAGCATTTTTTTTGAATGTCACCGGCCTCTTCCTAGCATTAATAATATAAAGAATAAAATGAAGAGGAAAGGAAAATTATGTTATCATGAATCGCGTAAGCATGCACGGGTTCAGCGGTTTTATCCATGGATCACCTCATGTCATGTATTCTGTCCGGACAAACAATCAACATCTCGTCGCGTCGAATCAGATGGCATTCGTTCTTTTCCTTCCCTCGTCGACGAATCGAGTTTGGATCCGTGGCGTAACCAGTCCCAATAAAAATCGCCGCCTCCAATCCTTCTCGGTGACACAAGAATAAGAGAGGTCGCGAATTGATCGAGGCTTCCGCAGCCCACTTGTCCACTCCAATACAAAGAGCCGCGGCGGGCGAGCGGGCGGATCGGCCATGGCGCCGCCACGGCAAGGGGAGGAGCAGGGGGTCGGCGCCGGCGCTGGCGATTCGGCGCCGGCGCTGCAGGCCCCGGCGCACGTGATGGCGCGGGTGTTCTCACAGCTCGACTGCGTCGACCTCCTCAGCTGCTCCCTCGTCTGCAAGTGAGTTGGCCCCTGCCTCGCCTCTCGCTCTCCCCGCGCGCGCGCGGTGGTCGACGGAATGCCCCCGTGCCCTTTTGTCTTGGCCTCTTGGGGTGTCTCGGTGCTGCTGGAACGGTTCATCCTGCAGTAACCTGATTGATCAACTGACCAAATCCATTCAGGGGGTGTTTGGTTGCCCTCGCTAAAGTTTACTTGGCTAAATCTAGTCCCATTTAGTCATTTTTTACCAAATACTATGATTAAATAAGACTAAAAGAGGCTTTAGCCAAGTCACCAGGACGTTGCTAAATGGGACTAAATGGAGCTAAACCTTACCTTTTATCCTATTTAGTCACTTTAGAGCCAAACAACTTGACTAAAAGAGACTAAAAGACCTCTTTTAGTCACCCAAACCAAACACCTAATAACTAAAGTTTAGTCTATGGTTTAGCTACTAAAGTCTAGCAAGGTTAAACCAAACACCCCTTAGTAATCTGTTCGGTGGACGTCTATGGTTACAGCCTTTTCGATGCTGTTGGAGTAGGTATCTTGATTCTGTGGCAACTGCCAGCAACCAATAACCAGAGCTGGATCATATCATAGTAGATTATATATCTTTCTTCCTTGTGCATGCTTATAAGATGAAAAAGCTCGTGTTACGTTATGCCACACTCCTCTCTTCTGAATTGGACATGCCTTCACACTCCAATTATGCATATTCTTCTAGAGACCAGCTGTGAGTTGGGAACGTTTCTTGTTCTGTTTTTTCACAATTTACTGGCTGCAGTGTGAGTTCGTCTAGTATTGGCAAAACCTTTTGTTGTTGGCAGAAACAGTCTCACTCTACAAATACTGCACCAAACCCTGACCTGTTCTATCCCCTTTTCCTGCAAATTAACTAGGGAAATAAATGTTCAGTAGCCCACACTTGTGTTCTCAAACCTGCTCATCATTTTGTCGATCACCAGGCAATGGTACCGCGATTCTGCGGAGCTAAGAGAGGAGTGGAGGATGGAGTACCTGGATGCTTGGAACCAGTTCGGATTGTCGGTGACGCGTGAGCCACAGCCGCTATGCGCTACTTGCGCGATCAGAAGCCTGCGTAGCCTGTGCCCTTGACCTTGGCTTGGCACAATGCTGCTCTCTGCATCCCCGCACCTGTCATTTTGATCAGGCAGGTTGTTGGTGCGCTCATGAGCTGCTTGTATCGAGCTCATCGTTATGTAATTGCATTTTGTAGCTACATGGTGCATACTTGTGGGTGTGCAAGTGCAAATGTACATGTTTGTTGGGTGATGGGTTGTATACCTGACTTTATAAGAAACCTTGTATTAGAATTGACTTACTAAAAGCTTGGACAATATCAGTGCAGAGTGCTTTGCTGTAATACGATTTTTCTTCGTCTAAGAGTGCTAGACAACAGATCCAACTACACTGCGTTAACCTGAAAAATTAGAATAGCCTAACTGAGCATCAAAATGTGCGAATACCCCTATTGCAGTCCTTCAAAATGGAGCTAGCCAAAACACATTCACCCAACAACACACACGGTTGTGATTCGGAAAATTTTGCACTACGGCAAAACACATAGCAAATTCTCAAAAGTTGCACTTTCAATACTATATAAACTGAGTCTGACCCAAAGGATTATACACGCAGAACATATAGAATAACACCGCACACCCTAATCAGGGGTGGCCTTCATTATATAGCCTAATAGGCTAGGGTTACAATGTACACAGGCCAATAGGCCATACGCCTAATATGGACTGTTATAATTACATTCTAACACCCTTCCTCAGTCTAAGCGGGAGTGTCACGAACACAAAGACTGGACCTAAAGTCAGTGAACAACTGTACAGGTAACCCTTTGGTCATAATGTCCGCGAACTGATGAAATGATGGAACATGGAGCACCCGAACCTGTCCCAAAGCTACCTTCTCACGGACGAAGTGAATATCTATCTCAATATGCTTCGTGCGACGATGATGAATGTCGCAGAACCGACCAATTTATAAGAATACAAGTACAATGGCAATCCACAAGCGGTCGCACTGTCATACTTGAACCCATATAAACCCGGTAGTCCGTCGAGTACCACGACGGATCTCGATAAACGATTTACAACAACCAAGATCGTACAGGATTCAACATACATGCCACATATTACATAAAGTTCACAGATACTTTTCATCATCGAGTCACGAATAAAAGTTATTACAAACCGAGTTTGATAAATAAAGCGGAAGCAAATAAGTTCAAGATAAAGTTTCCAACATAGTTTGATACGAGTGCCAAGCTAGATCACGGTCCACAAAAGCAAGGATAGGAATTACTAAAGAAGCTTGCCCAAGGCTTACTCCTCATCCACATGCCGGGATAGAAGCAACTCTTGCAATAACCATGATACACAGTGCCATCGCAACATTGGGAAAATAAACCACGAGTACGAGAAGGTACTCACTAGACTTACCCGCCATGAACCAGAAATAAAATGACTCCAAAGAGTATGCAAGGTGTATAAGTGGACGTAATTTGACAACATTTTGCGAAAAAGGCAAAGCGATCCGTTGTACAATTATGATTCCTTTACCAAGTTAATTATAACTATCCATTTCTAGATTAGCAACTATCATGTGCCAAACATGTGGTATCATTTAGAAACATACAATAGTAACCATAGCGGTATTGAAATTCCATTTTCATCCGAACCATCATGTTCCATAATACTGATTACTACGATGTTGGAGCTAGCCAAGTTTCTCACTATCCGGGAGAGCGGCGATTGAATCGATTTCAACCGGTGGGAATTTATTCCTAACACAAACCCAGTCTACCGACCACGATAGCCTTAGGTCACCTTTGGTACAACTTCGGTACACATTTCGGTGGGTCCGCATCTGCGCCGCACAATCTGAAACACCGGATGCCGGGATGCTCGTGCCAAGCACGCCCTTGGGCTCACCGATCGTTCCCGGAAGGAGCGCACAATGTGTGAGCGATTCACGGCACGAGTTGAATTACTCGGCCAGCGGTTCGGAAGCAATTATCCGGCCAGCTAAGTGAGAGGCATGCGTTCAATCTTGTCGAGAAGTTCCAACAACGCAGTACGGTCCTTGATCGACACGCAGACGGGGATAGATCCACACCCAAGACCTCCATGCCTTGTTGCTTTTCTATCGACATCCCGCCGGTCTCCATTTACATTAACCATGGTTCTTTCCACGATAGCAATGATAACCAACGGTGCTCGGTATCCACCTATATCTCGCAGTGACATGTGAAATCACCCGACTTCTACCGGTCTAAGCATGGCTAAGCATATATTCGATCCTCGGACCTATACCGGTTAAAGGGGTAATATCTGGACAAGGAATGTACATGCATCAAGTGGTTTCATTCAACTCTTATAACCTAATGCAGCAATCATAAGTACTTAAGTAAACATTGATAAATTACTGGGAGACTTATAATGCTCCGGGGCTTGCCTCGCAGAAAGGAAGTAGGGCGATGGTCAGGGCACTCCGGAAGCTCTTCAGGGTTCTGCTCCACGCCTTCGGGAGCTGCGGCTTGCGGATCCTCCTGCGGGTTCCCTTCCTCTGCTTCTTCGAATTCCAGCAACGTGATCTCTTCCTCCGATCCTAGATGCATGAGTATGGTATAAGTATTACGAATGCATATATGTTAACAAGTGCATCACGTTGTTTGAGTAGGTGCATATCTCTTCTCGATTATTACTTAACTACTTCTATAATGCATCGACTATGCCACAAACAGTAGCTACTTGTTTCGCTCATAAGTGGAGTTCTACAAATCCAAATCCAGTGATCCTGGACTTTCTGGAAAGCTTATCAAATTTTCTACAACTTTGTTATTAACCATTTTTATAGTACACATCAGTTTCAACATGCAAATCCTCACACTCTAGAATCAGTCCGGAAATGACTTAACATGCAACATAAAGTAAGAATACTTCTACTTCAGGTAATCATTCAAAATTTGACAACCTAGAACCTACCAATAGTTTAAGCATACCAAATACAGTTAAGATGATATAATGGTAAAGCCCAAACTATTTATTAAATTGCCTTTATTATTTTATTTAGATATCTAGGTTAAATAATAAATATATATCAGATGTGCTTAATAAATTCTCAAAAATTTACAGAGCCTTACTAATGCTATCAAAGGACTGCTATAAAAATTTCAGGTCATTTTACTAAGTAGAACATTCTATACAAAAATGACAAGGCAGCAAGGCTTGAAATAGCATAAATGGAAAATCCTATTGAAAAGTGTCAAGCAACAGATTTCATATTTTTCTTAGCATCCATATGGTACTAGGATTACCTCCAACAAATTTCATGAATTTTGGACTCATACTTAATTTATGAAAATTCATGCAAGGATTAACTAGTCATAAAAGAAAAATCTATAACTTTAAATCTACCCATGCACTGGTCCTCAAATTTTTACCAGAGTTCACACATGCTAAGATTAGTTCACCACAAAAATTTCATAATTTTTGGAGCACAGGAACTCTAGATATAAAATAAACAAATTTGAATGCATTCAAAAGCACATTTCAAATCCCTATTTAAATCTCCAGAAATTTCTACTATTGAACCCAAGAACATATTTTTATTAAATACTACATTTCCTAAGGAACACAACCATATTTATTTCACAAATTTAGGAGCTACCAAACTGAAGATACAAAATTCACAAAATAAATCAAAAGCTGGATTCAAAATGAGTTAGCCTTCAATATCATTGTCATTTGGACAGGTGGGACCAGCTGGTCGGGGGACCCCACGCGTCGGGGACACGGAGCAGAAAGCAGCTGCTTGCTGGGGGCATGTCAAGCGGTTTCGTCGACAAGCGAAGCCCGGCCGGTGGTGAGGTCATCATGGTATGACCTACGTGACCAAAGCGAACCTCATTGAGCCACTTGGTCGGTCCTATTGCCGACCCTAGAGTCGACGACGGCGCATGGCGGCATGGCGGAACGGGCGGGCTGGACC